GTAAGGAAGGAAAAGCTGTTGCATCTCAGTTTCAACTGGTTCTCGATGACCGATCTCGGGAGAACCCTCGTTTAAACCGAAACCGAAACTCTCTGCGGAATCAACCAAGAAAAATAACTATGCTGATGAAAACRATTGCGATGAGAACGACGATGATGAAAGAGGAAAGGTACCTACGATGTTGAGTATTGCGATTCCTAACGTGAATGAGAATTACACTGGGGTTGTTGTTTAAGAGATGGTCGATTGCCCATCTGACGGCAAACGGGCTGTTTTTATCTTTATCGACGGCCACTGCTGTGTAGTTGGTAGCCAGYTGTTCGTCGGGCGAAAGATGAGGAGCCATTTCTATGTGTGGTTGCGCTTCAGCAGCACCACCCCACCACTACCAATACCAACTCTAGCTAGCCCAAGCAATAAGAAGGATTAATGAACAATGGAGAAACCAGGGCTAATGCATCCAACCTGAAAGAGGAAGAAGAGGAAAAGGAAACTAGAGAGAACGATTGCTGAGATTTCTCAATCTTTCTGTTTCTTCTCCCTCCTCCCTCTGACTTCTCTTTCACCTCATTCTTTTTTTCGTTTTTTCTCGCGAGGCGTAGACGTCTTCAGTAACCTAAGGATCTCCTCCTCTTCCTTCGTTTTCTTGTTTTAAGCCAGTTTGACTTGATCCAACCATTTTCATTTATTTTTCCTTCCGACCCTTTTGTCTTTCTCCTCTCTCAACTATCAGCGTAGGGCTCTCATTGTGACACGTGATGATACACGCTTGAAGAATGAATACCAGCTAGACAATTGACCACGTCAAAAGGTCAGAATTTTGAGTTTGGTGCCCATAACCAATATGTAGCGTTTGTTCGTGGTTCTAAAAAAGGGTGAAATCATACCACTTTTTTAAGAAATAATAATAATGCAATTTTTTAATCGTACAGGATGTTGTATTGGTACTTCGTCATCCTATATATATATATATATGGTCTTTCCAGTTTTTTGTTACCAAATGGAAAAAAATCAATTTTTGGTCTTGTAAGCTTGCTGAAGTCCAGAAAACCATGCAAAAATATTTGCCAAACACCACCTAATTGAAATTTTGTTGGTACATAAGATACACAATATAACTGACTGTCATGTGATGCTTATACCARGAAATTGTTCTCTTAGCTCTCTCTTTGGATTGATTAGTAAGGRGTGTTCAAAAACATAGTTGGTTATAAAATGCATGAAACATGAACTTGATTTTCTCATTCTAAAATCAACTAAGATATAAAATGAAACAGCAAAGGGATGCCTTAGGCTGCATTTGAAAATGATGCAAATGGTGTAAATCTYGGTTCTGGGTAAATTTGTACTCTARTTTATTTTTATTTATTTTTGGCAACATTACATTTATGCATTGACAAATGAAAATACATTTTCTAATGTATATTTACATTGATTRGGATTTGAACCATGATGACCACATGATGAAGGCAATCACGGAGTGTTGATAAAATAAGTATTTTTAACCAAAATTATCTTATGTACTGTATATTACATTTATCCTTTTAGATACAACATATAACAAAAAATTATTAATAAATGAGAAAGCATTTATATGTTATTAACTATATGATTGGTTTGCTCAATTGGTAAATTATTTGGGWAGAAGTAGCAGAGACTTGGGACCAGGGTTGGGGATTGTAGCGTTATAGGTACGGGGATGGGTTACCTTTGTTGTGCATAGTCTGGAAAGCAAAAAGAAAAAAAAAAAAACAAGGAAAAACTATATGATTGGTTGAGGTCTTATAAGTTCAGAATAGAAAGAACCGGTCCCAACCAATTATTAATCAGGGATGGCAATAAGGCGGGTTCAGGAAGGGTCTTATAAATTTTAGATTCACCCACCAAAACATGAAGCGGGTTGGGATTTTAAAATCTAAACCCTTGGCATACATGAAATTACAAAACCCTCTCCAACCCTACCTTATCTGCATTTGAAGGTGGGGCAAACTAAGTCCAAAGCTACATCTAATTTTGTATTTATTTTTTGTTATGTATAAGTAATAAATAAATAAATAAAATGAACAAATATCACAATTTTCAATTATTTGATATTTTTGTGATAGATGAAAATCTATACCAAAAAATACAAGCAACAGGTCCTATGTCCCACACACAAAAACTATATGAGAATTTGGCCTTTTGAGCCACAAGATAGATGTGCAGATGAAAGAGACCTAGGAATATACATAAACTTAACCAACAAAAAAAAAGGAAGAAACTAGTCCAGAAATCTTGTGCAGTAAAACATTAGAATCCAAGAGGAAAAGACATAAACTCTC